TAGTGGTAGAGAGGAGTGATGATCTCATTGAGGTAGGTGAATTCCTCCACTGGTTCAACGCGAGCCTGGCATTCGGGCGAAGTATAGTAATCGTCTGCACACTTGAAGATGAAACAGATACACTCCGGCAGGAATCGCACCTGGTTGGCTTCACCCCAGATGAGAAGATAGAGGGCCACTTGACGGGCCCGGTCGTGCTGGGACATCCGGTTCATGCGAGATTTCCACCGGTATTCCGCAGCTTCCAAGCTGTTGTCTCCTTCCAAAGCCTCGAGAGTTTCCTCTTCGTCCTCGGGGTTGGCTTTGGCGGCCTTGGCTGCAGCCCTGCGGGCTTTCCGCGTCTTGCGGTCTGCCTTGCCGAGCTTCATGTTGGCGAAACCGACCGCATCATCGAGATCGAGATGGGCGGCGAAGTACCATCGGCGATAATTAGCGTTCTGGCCGCCGATGTAGTCGGCGTGAACGGAGAGAAGTGCCTGGTTAGGGGTCATACGCGAGGCACGAGAGTCCAGAATAGTCATCATGTGGTCATACATGTTGCGCATGCTGTCTCGCTGGAATCCAAACTTGTTGACCAGATCCAAGAAGATATCCTCGAGCTCCTCCTTTGAGAGAGGGATCTGGGCCTCCGAAGTCCAGGCCGGGTAAGGCTCACGCGAGCGCTGGCCGGCGGGAATGGCGTTGCCGTAATCCATTCCGTAGACAGGAGTCGAAGCGCCAGATGATCGGTTGGCCCCGTAGGAAACTTGAGAGGAAGGAGGACGGTATCCACCAGCGCCGCCGTACTGGCTGTCTGAGTAGCTGTTGTACCGCTCGTCTCCACGGCCATAGTAGTCCATGTCCGCAGCCCGAGCAGTCTCGGACCTCATGGTGAAATCGCTGAAGGTCTCGGAATCCTCCTCGGAATCATGACCACGACGGCCTCGGGGTTCCCCTTGTCCCTGGTCGTAGTACGGTTCCGCGGCGTGCGGATCTACGTGCCCAGCCTCGTAGTATCCGCCGTCGGCGTATCCGTGGCCTGCATCCGCGTGAGCTGCATGATCCCCAGGAGCTCCGTCGGCGTGAACACCGTCTGCTCCGTAGTAGCCATTACTAGTCTTGTCAGCCCATGACTCCATTTTCTGATGTGGGGGTGGTTATACCCTTGATCGTAGTAGCCATCGCCATACCCTTGGTTGTCATAGTAACCCTGTGCATGTTCGTCCTGGTAGTAGGAGTCACCATGAGCATCCCCATGAGCTTGACCATGTGCCTGCCCGTGGGCATAGCCATCGTCGTACTGGCCTCCGCCTGCGTAGCCCGACATGACAAGCGAGTCGCGATTGATTTATTGCCAAAAGCTCTGCGGGGGATTAGCTGCCGAGCTCAATAATGATGCAAGCTCAAGCCTATCTCACCTTGGTGACCATTCAAAGTATTATTTTCTTTTGTTCGGGTTGTCGAACTAATAGAGCATGGGTAGAAAGTCGAAGCAAGCGCAGGAAAGAAATGCGTTATCTTGAGTACCCAAGCGAAGGTGTCGAACGAGTCTCAGACTCCGTAACGAATGGCAGGTGAGAGTTTCACGCAAAGGAAGGTGCAATGGGAACGTTTGAAGAGCAAAGCAACCTCCCTCCTATCCTTCAGAAAGAAAGAACAAGAAAGATAGCAAATTAGAAGGAAAGATGGAAACAAAAAGCGAATGGAAGGGGGTTGGAAAGAGAAGACCAGAAAATGCTTGTTATTTTTGGGTCGGGGGGAACTGGCTCCGTCTCCAGAGTAATTTACCGTCATCTTACAGCTATAAAGGGTACGTGTCAGAGTTGCACGTACTGGATACCTGCCCCCAGTATGGTTAGCCCCTATTTGTCCCAGGTACTGACAACCCCCCTTTGTTTACCGTACGTGGCAGGTATTTTGTATTCTCCAAACGCCTTTCCCTCTCTCTCTGTGTCTCTCCCTGATCGACCATTTGTGAATTACCGATATCGTCCGTCTGTAATTACGCTGTTGTTTTTCCCCGATCACTTTTCACCTTTCCCCAATCTCCCCTCTCACCATCCAATGACAATCTCCCATGGACACTCGGAATCCAAGGGAGTCTCGACGGCCCCTGAAACTTGCCCCACCGCGACCCAGCCAGCATGTAATCCGGTAACAAATAATGTGGCCGGAAGCTATTTTCAGAGATACCTGGTGTTGTTCCAAAAATGGCCTTGATTCGTCGACTCTGCTATGGTGACTACTTGGTATGTAGGGATGGCGTTGCACCGGCAATTTCCATTCCTACTATGTAGATGGCGTCCATTTTCAGACTTGCCCTCTCACTGGGGTTCGCCACAATGTACAGGCTGCGTACTGCGTATATATTGTACACAGGTACGGGTACGTACACTTATCTATCTGCTTATGTGGCGAGTCAGTGCCTCTGGAATTTGTGACCAGTAGCAACCAAGGACCATACAAGTGAACTAGTAATTTGAATATTTTACATTCCGTTTAATATTATCTCCTGATGTTCTTCAATCTGATTCGAAGCTCGAATAAAATTAATATCAGCTTGAGCTCTGACCCGTGGCCTTCGTGTTCTCAGCTGCCGTTCCATGGATCCCCAGCGACAAGAACCACCTTTGCTACCAGACTGTTTATTGTATATCTTCTGTTGTTTAATCTGGATCTTCTATTCAAATTGCTGCTTTCATAACTAGTGAATCTTTTTTTTATGTTTTGGTGTTTGCTGATTTGCCACCCGCAATACAAGTTGTCTCAAATCTGGTCGATCAGTCCTATGTGTATTACATTTGACTTTCCACTGCCGGTTATTCTGTGGCAAGTCCATACATGTACTCCCCCGTACGGAGGCCATAGTGGATGTTATCGGTGGATCCGGTACCACGAGAAAAAACCTGGCAGTACAGTCTTTGCTAGCCTTGTTTGATCTTCCACTCGCTAAATAACGTTTGAAAACTCAATCGTCATTGACTATATTTATCTTTTTAGTCTTCCAAGGTTATCGATGCATTAGCCTCTGTGCAATCTAGATAGTCTGTCACAGATACATAAATATAACACAGCTGTGTACTGTATATAGATGTACCAATACACCTGGGACTATATGCATACAGCTGTATCTTATAACTGGTATTCCAAGATCTCCACCGTTAGACTCAGGATTTCATCTTGTCCACACAAGTGGATCACCGATTCCTTTTTCTTAATTATTCTTTCAAGCCTCGACCCAGAAGTCTACTCCATAAAATATTGTACTCCATTCTCCGTATGTTGTGTTATACGCAATACCAACGCCACTGCACCATCAAGCCAATGCTTATCGGGTATGCCGTGGCACATATATGCATACTCGCAGACTGCAGCATTAGTTTGAGTACTTGTACCTTGTACACCTTCATATTAGTGGAGGCAGGTACAGGAACGACACATCAGCTGCATAAGCACCGATCTTCGACATCTGATCTTCGTTTTCCCCTGTGGGTTTTCGCTATCTATCCACTTACCGTGGCCTTTATTGACACTATAATCAATTACAACATACACTCTCAAGAAGCCGATAGCGATTGGATTGCATTCCTATATAATAAGCGCCAAAAATAATCTTCGGCGAAATCGGTCTTGAAGGGCCTAGTCAGCGATCATCAGCCGGTAGGCGTGCCCTAGTGTCGCACATTTATTGTACTGATTGTGGCGTATTGACCCGTCACCTTTCAATACTGTGTACGCTACACTAGCACGACAGCGCTTCAATGTGGCTAAATATAAGCAAATGATCCAGGGTTATTCATGAAGCGTACCCCTATTAATTAGAAAATAGTTTACTTGGACCTACATAGGGGAGCCATGGCATTGGCGTTTCTAGAACCATACAAGCGCTTCTATGATTATTTTTGGCTCTAGCCCCTGAATAGGGCGTTTTATATTCAATGTTCGCACTGGCTCCCCGTGAAAGGGTTTCGATCTCTACAGTAGATCCATTGATTTATAAGGTACCTCTAACGATTATCATGGTTATACATAGGAGTTGAGTTGACCGCACCTTGAGCACTGATTCAATTTATAATTAGGGGGCTGTGACCCGGGCCCCTCTGCACCGTTATCCTCCACCGCCGTCTGCGTCATGACCAGGAGCCAATCACAGCCCCTATTTCTGAGGCCGTAGTTGTGTCCATATATGGAGTACTCCGTACAGGTACAACAGTACTAGATAATTTCTGTTGAAAAGCTTGCCGCACCACATGACTTGTACAACAACGTCTATGCACGAAATGGAGTACGGAATACGGAGTACTTGAATTAGTATGTACTATTGTAGCCAATTGAATGCCATGGGAGTTCAAACAAGCAATCAGGATTCCCGCCATTTCACATAAGAACTTAACATATGACATACGGAGTATACTTTTACCCCTAGGTATTGCGTGTGTAGTACGGTATTATGGCTTTATGGCATGGTTCATATAATCTCCGCCAGTCCTCCGACATGGTTGTGTAATTGCACTCACGATATATAACTATACAACTAGAAGTACTTATATCAAGAAGTAACAATATCACTCTATGTTGTGTCCCTGATGGTAAGATATGTTTAGCCAGCGCTAATCATTGCTCAAATATCGCCTTATCTCTGAGTTTTGATTCAATGTTCAGATTTGTGTCTATTGCGCCGTTTTCGCTTGCAATTGCATGATATGGGCACGTAGAGTGGCACTCAACAATGTGTGCTAGTACAGCGTGTACCTATTACTTCGTCTCTTACTTTTAGTATGCTCTCTTTCATAGTGTAGTTCTACAATATATTCCTTAAGACTAGCAGAACAAATCAACCCGAGGACTCCAGATAGTCATCTTCCATATGGAGAGCTCTCTCTCTCTAAATCATTTATTTCCTCTATTTTTAATATTAAAGCCACATCATTTGCACTAGCCTTCTATCGAAGCCATCTCGCACCGAATAATCTAAACAAATAACCGATTACTACGCATCTCCAGCCGAAGTAGAGCCAGGAATGTTCACCAGTGATGTCAATCTACAAATGCGAACAACTGGCACATCCTCTCACCAATCGGAGGCTATATCCGATCAGATTGCAACGAGTCAGGCATATCCACTATGTGCTGGGATGCAAGGGGCCGCCGATCTCTATCGGCAGAGCGATGGAATGGCTGGTCAACGTCCATCTGCCCGTGTCGATCCAGGTCCGTCCAGCCGTCCAGGAGCCCAACCTCAGTTGCAAGCCATGCGGTATAATGTGGCTTCTCCGTTTGCGATCCGCATGCTCCGGAAGTACATCCATTCCGTGTAGAACATCATGTACCTGTAGCAAGGAGGCCGGCTTGATGGTACCTGAGACCTTTGAAGGCTTATGCACGTCTGGTCTTCGGGTGCTCGTCGTGCTGGTTATGATTGGACGTCATAGAGCTGCAGTTGGCTTGGTTTTGGTCCTCTCTCCCTTCTATGGTTTTATTGTTCGGTCGGCGGTTTTGGCTTTGGGACTGGGTTTCACCCATCTAGGATCACTAGTTGGCGCTTATTTGTCCTTGTATGTTATATGTAAATAGGTTATAATAACCATGGCTACCTTATTATCATATTTATTACTTCTCGATGTAGGTAGGCAGAAGGCATATCTTTCTACATTATAGATTCTATGCGGAAGTACAGCTTCATCCATTGTATGTTTGAGTTATGGTTGCCATACTTGACCTCATTATACATAACGTATGTTAGATCAGTATATATCTAAATAGACTTTGTCTTGGTGTTTTTGCTGTCGATGTAGTTATATATTTCGTCATGGTTGCATCCGATATACAACCAACCACAACTTCTTAAGGTTAACAACCATCAAACTTTTCTTTCCCTAAAGAATATCGGAGCCTTGTACAGAGTAGTGTTGTAGATGACACGACAAATACGGTAGGATCACTGAGTAGATTTCAGTCCGGGCTACTCATTGGGCAAATCTAACTGCGCAACTAGCTGCAGGCCATTCTTAATGGTTAAACCTTCATCGCATGGTATCTGTCTAGTTGATCGAGCGCGCTTCTTAACGCTCCTCTCATTTGCCATGCGTAGATTCATGTTCTCCTGTACAAGCAATGCAGTGTTGTATAATGATTCGCAGTGGAGGTATAATATCGCTGTATACGGAGTACGGAGTAGATTCGGTCGAATTAGGGTGTAAGGTGTCTACCGTGGCCATCAAATTCGTATGTGGAATAAAGTGCTTTTGTAGTCAACGTAGGCTAATCTCATCGGTAGTCCAGCCATTATTTGACACTTTCTTGGAGAGTACAAGAAGGATAGGAAAAACCATTGCGGACTGCTTGCTTATTATTAAGCTGTTGTGGGTGCCAAAACCTTGACACCCAGTCTACCAGAGCTCGAGGAGGTCTACGCTTTGCATTTCCCATCAACAACTATCGTTTCCTTCACTCTCATTCAAACACCAGCTGTACTAGCCTTTCATTGACCAAAAATACGTCTTCATCCATCGTTGCAAAGCTCATCAAGTCAGCATGGACAATCCCGAAACCGCCGAGTTCTTGTGCGGCCTCGACGGCACGGACATCACTCTCGATCCACCATCCGAGCCGCCTCTCCACCTGCCCCGCCAGACCTGGGTGATCGATAAGACGCTCTCTGAACGATCTGAATGCATGACGCAGCAAGACGTTGACGATGGCCTTGGACTTCCGTACGCAGCTGCTAAGTTTCTCTGCCACCCCAAGGGAAATCCTAGCAAGAAAGCTTTTATGCGGATTTATCTTCAAATTCCAGTCATTGGCACTCAATATCAGAGCCCTCAAATTCGACAAAAGCAGGCTGCTAAGCCACAACCGCACGTTGAGTTGACGACCTTGAAAGTGCTCAATAAATATGGATGCGATGTTGTCCCTGACCTCCTTGCTTACCAAGAAAGAGAGCAAGGCGAAGATAGTATCGTTCCGGGAGGTTATATCACTTATTTGGTCTGGGACAAAGTTCCCGGGGAGTCTCTAAGGGAAGAAGAATTCTGGGAGCTGGAAATTGAGTCGCGCCGAGAGATCCGCGATAAATTTCGTGAAGCCTTTCCGTAAGTCTACAGAACTCTCTGCCTGGCGTGCTTTCGATTGACATGAAAATTAGAAAGCTGAAGAAGTACGGTTACCTACCGCGTATGTCAACTATGTCGAAGATCATCTATGAAAAGGCCACCGGGAATATGTACGCTCTATCCGTTGTTGAGTGGAGAGCACTATAAGCTGACGGAATTAGGCATTTCTCGGGGTTTTCACGGGCAGGCCGTACTGATACAAACGAAGAGTGGCATGACAAGTACTACGTTCTGTTTCGTTTGGCTAAGCCATCTCCGAAGACGGACTGGGTCAAGGATCCAACAGGATGGACTTGGTGAACAGCGAAGTACACTCAATGTACCCTGGAAGAAAATATCCGTCGAAAGTTCTTCTATTATTCGCGTGAATCTTCAAATCCGTATGGAAGAATTACAATCATCATAATAATGGAGAATCCGAAAGTCACATATGTATTGAAATGAGCAAGTGTGAAGATCGATTCATAGCGAAGGCGATGTAGTTCCTACTTTGCAACATTTGTTGTAGGAGACTAGAGTACATCTTAATAGGCTACCGCGGCGATTGTAGTAACTGTTGACTGAACATTGATGAGAGCAAAACGCACCACCTGCTCAACACGCCTTTGTTTATTCCCCAACTATCGCTGTCAACTCATCAACCAGGATTCTAGACTGATTTCTACGCTTCTCATATCTGTAACTTACACTCCAGGATCCTTGAGGTCAATTCTTGATGTTTTGAACTGACTCCATTCTGCCTACAGACTCAGACAATATGCCGGCAAAGCAAGCTCGCGTGAGGGAGGTGGCTTCTCAAGCCCTTCCTCCACTCCCCCTCGGCCCAAATCACACCGAATCCAACGCTCTCCACACTATCGAGTTTGTGGGCGAGCTCCATCGTTGGTCCAACTTTCTCCGTTTTGTCGAAACACATGTCCAAGGCCAGAGATGGAGCACCAAGTTCCTCAAGTACACCCATGGATTAGGCGACCCCGAGGCTGAATCACAGCTCATTGGCGATGAGACAGGCCTCCAGGGTGTTTTCAATCATTCTGTGGGATTCATGGTTGGAAAAATCCTCAAGGCCCAGTCAATCGATTTAGAGTTCGCTGATTTCAAATGCCTGGGAAGCCACTATGCCAACACGCCCGATAGCATTCTGATGACCAAGAATGCTCAGCTAAAAGTTGTTGGGGAGTTAAAGGTCCCTTGGGTGAACGAACACAAAATGAGCCAGGCGTATGAGGAAGAAAGTATGCTTTGCCATTTGCTTGCCCAGCCGATCAAATATATGAAGGATATGAATTGTATGTATGGCTTCATGAGCAACTACCGTGAGACGATATTCCTTCGGCAGGTACTCATTGCAGGAAAATGGGTCGTCGACTATTCTCCAGTCATTCTAGCATCAACCTCCTACGCCAAGACGGACCTGGGCAATCTCCAAGCTGTACCAGTTGTGTCAATGAGGCAATGTTTCCTTGCTGTTGCGGCTCTAGCAGAGGCGCAGGGGCCTGTCTACAATACAACACCAAAGTCCCAATGGGTTGTGCGAATGTGACATAGCGACTATCGGATCAGTGCCATGTTCAGCCTCCGACAAATAGGAAAGGATCTGGGTTTCCCGATTTGCCAAGAGTTGGAGTCTGGCTGTGGGTACATACGTTGCCGTGCCAACGAATTCGTTGACAGCTGAACAGACATGACACCAACAACGAAAAACACCGGGGTCTCCGGCACTGACCTGGTCAGCGCAAACACAGTTCAACTAATTTAGAGAAATCATCATCATCGCCATTAGCACCCATAGGGTATCATTGACCGATTGACACCACGAAGATTGTGCCATCAGAACAACATCGCGATCATGGCAAGGGTCAATACAGCCAATCCTCTAGTCACAAACACGCCATACAATGAGACTGTCCCACGCACAGGGAAATCTCACAACAGTTCACCACCTGGAGAGCCATGTTTCAATTTTGGGAACAAAGTCAAACACAATATGCCCACCAAGCCGCAAAAATCGCAACGGCAAGCAAAGAGTTCAAGTGGATCATTCGATATATTCCCCGACAGCGACTCAGCATCGGAAAGTGAATCTGGACAGCACAAGTCTACCGAAAAGCAGCAAAAACACAGAACACTAGGGCTCGCACGTGTGAACTCGTTACTCCTACCAGCAAAGCGGAGACCACGCCCCGCCATCCGAAGAGAGACTGAAGATTACGATAAAGAGAACGATGTGGCAGGATACACCACAGATGGACATCGCACTCCAGATTTAACGCCAACAAGGCCGATTGCCTCACAGGCTCCCACAAGAAGCAGAGTGGATTATTTCACCGCGACACAGCCAGTGATTGACCGCCAAGAGGAACAAGAGGAGCCAGAATTCAGCTTTGAAGAAGAAGATAGCTCTGACTCACTAGACGGGTTCATTGTCAGTGACAATGAAGAGCTTAGCTCCTTTGAGACATCGGATTCCGAGACAGCCGACATAGAAGCCGAACCTAGCCCGGTTCCATCGCCTGTGAGGTCGCCAAGAAAAAGACTCTTGCGTGGAAGACGACCTATATCAGAAGCAGAATCCAACACCACTGCAGATGAGGAGCCATCAATGGAAACGACCAAGTTGGTGAAAGAGACGGACCGATCAACTGAGAAATCAAAGACAGTCATCTCAACGCCTGAATACTGCACACCGAATCCTGCAACTAGTTCCAAATCTTCATCCCCTATCCGTAGGGCAGGAATACCTAAGCAGGTTGGTTCATGCTCTCCGCCTCATTTCGGCCTGCACAACTCCAGCGACCTCATCAAACACCTCGAGGATCTTGACCTGGACAGTGACAATGAGTCTACAACACAGACACAGCCAGAACAGTGCAAGTGAGTTCTATGTGGGCATTCATGTGCACTCATAGTCTGGCAGTGGCCAACATACTAACTACATCTCACAGCTCAGAGTCAGAGGATGAACTACCATCGAAGCCCTACATAAGCCATACAAAGCTACTACCTGTGACACCGTCACGAGCGAAGCCTCACCTTTCTCTCACTCGCTCTATCATATCAATTGACAGGTCGCCTGGCATGGGTACTCCCACCACCATCAAGGCCCAGAAAAAGGCCGAGGCAGCGCGGAAACGCGAGATCCGAGCCCAAGTAGCCGAATTCAACCAAAAGAAGATCGGCTTTGCCGAAGAGTTCCTCCGGCACCTTGACAGTGCCTTCAATGACCAGATTACTCGCATGACCGAGCAAACCGGCGGCATCAAAATCATCTGGACAAAGAATTTCCGAAACACCGCCGGCCGGGCAACCGTCCGTTCAGAAAGATTCCTGAAAGGAGCATCCGGCGTGGAAGACCCCGAGAAACGGCGTTACTATGCCACCATTGAGCTCTCCGAGAAAGTCCTGGACAGCGAGGACAAGATCCTCTGCACCATGACACACGAATACTGCCACCTCCTCGATATCATGGTCACTGAAAACCGGGCCAAGGGCACGGCGCAGCACGGCGCCAGCTTCAAACAGTGGGGCGCCCGATGCGCCCGCGCACTGGAAGGCCACCCTATCTACGGGGGCCGGGTTGAGGTCACGACCAAACACACCTACGAGATCAACCACAAATACATATGGGCTTGTAAGGTCCAGGGCTGTGGGTTCACGGTCGGGCGACACTCGAAGAGTGTTGACCCCAAGCGTCACTTCTGCGGCCGTTGCCGGGGCGGTCTTGAGCAGATCAAGCCGGTACCGAGGGCTGTGGCGCCGAAGAGGCCTGTTGTCAAGGCGCCGGTCGAGGAGAAGGATATTGTGGTTATTGATCCTTGATATCTAACCCGTTTATGCTTGTAAATATTTGGGTATGCCCAGTGGCAGTGGGGTTGTCAATGAGCCCAATTTAATGAACATATGAATGTCTGCCTATGTCAATTATTTTTTTATAATATCAGATCTAAGTACATTATGTATGAATTATATGGGGAGAAGAATATGTGCTTTATTGTAGTAAAGTCGGGAATAGCAAGGTGCGATGTCTATAGTGAAAAATGCCCTGCTGGCGAGCCCATTCGGTAGAAATGTCACAGGCCTCAGTATTCACCGAGGCAAGTAGTATTTTGACCGTATTCCATCACGCAGTTGGTAACGGTACTCCCACTCCACAACAGTGTCATCGGAGCTATCTGTATTCTCTCTTTCGAGCACGGGAGTTTCCCGATCTCGGCAAATGTCTGCTTCGTTTCCTGTTCAAGCAGGTCAACCACCAAAATAGGCAGCACAGTCTTTGCGCTCCCTCTCAGCCTCCGCATTTCCCCCATGAGTCTTATATAGTCATTCAAATATAAATAATATCCAGTATATGCACCATCCATCATACTTCATAATAGCCTGCACCCAGGTGGCATTCTCTCCGATAGGGCCACCTAGTTCACTGAACATATCTTGCAGTTCCTCAATCGTGATATTAGGCCAGTCTGTCTGCCAATTGACATAGAATCCCGCACTCTTGGCCGCCTGCCGCCGCTGCCTGGTATTGCATACCACATAGCGGAACCGTGGATGCTGTGCAAAGCGGCCGCTCGCATGCTTCATAAGGTAAGGTGTAACGGATATAGTCACTATATTGCACGGCTCTCAAGCGAGGTGTCACGAACTCAGCTGCCCCACGTGGGAAGATAGTAGGGAATGCGAGCGATAATAAGGGCTCGGTATCGTTGAAATCGACCATGGGGTATTCCGGAAAGGGGGCATGGTCAAGAAGGCATTATGGCCCGCTACCATCTTCCGGATAGTATCGATCTTGGCCCGGTCTGGGACGAAGTCTGGTACTGCTGAGACCTGTGGCGTATCCATGCCTATATCGTCCTCACTGCCGCCAGCAGACTGAGGAGACTACCTCCGGCTGTCCTGGATGGTGGACAACAATCTGACAGCCAAAGAACAATGACCTGGCTGACACTAAGAATCCCCCTGTATCGGTACTCAAAATCCGGCGGGAGTTGAAGCAGATCTTTAGACCAGAAGACAGCTCGGTTCATCGATGAACTCAGTGCTCAGTTCACTGGGTGTCACGTGACTCTTAGTATTACCCACAGCATCGGTAATGGACAGCCCAGCAATAGATATAAGATGGGGCTTGCGTTGGGTGGTATCGAGGTTGTAGTTGCGCTTGAACTGTAGGAAAGATCCAATGGCTGGATTCCTGGTGACATGTATGATTTTTCCTATCATACCTGCATCACCTGTAGGGACAAAGATAGCCTGATGAGCGGGCCGCGCGCCGTTGGAGAATATTGCCAGATAGATTGTGCGGGTCATTGTTTCTGATGTGTGATAAAAGGTATAGTTTCACTTGAGTGAAAGAGTGAAAGGAAAGTTGAGTGAATTCGACCTCATGAAGTAGTGAGATCTGATTGAGAATGGAAGCACAATTAGATCGGGCTTTAAAACCCGTAGGTGATGGGTTGGTAGGATCAGGCCTAGCAATTAAGCGCCTGCATAATAAGGCCTGCAGTGTAAAAAACATGGCATAGTTGCACATGCGAGCGCTAAGATGGATAAGTTGGGTGGTTGTTGGTTGCTTAGGCAGAGGTGATATGTACTGCCTACAACATATAGGGAGATCTGGTCAAATGACAAGTTCATCAATGATATCTTACTTAGCCCACTCTTATGGGCCGGCGGATCTACGAAGACACTAAAAAAGATACTAAAACTTAATGCTTGGTCGTTGAAATAACATCACATCAGAAGCAGGAAGGAAAAATGAAGAGAGACTTGGGGAGGACCTAATGCCTGGTGGTGAGCTAAAAACCAATCTCACATTTAATAAACACTGTCTCTGGGTGATATTTCGACGCCGTTTATCTTACGCAGAAAAGAGATCAATAAAAGCCAGAACAATAAAATTCTGCCTTTCTCAACATCTCAAACTCCCAGGGCCGCAGTGTAGTAGGCCCACGTATCCCAAGTGCTGGTATACTGACATAAAATCATTGGCAAATATTTTTTAGACCATTCCTGAGTGTCAGCAGTATACTGCGCCTTTCTGGCCTCCCAGTACACAGGTAGCCAGCCAGACTGTTCCCAATCGACGATTGCAAGAACACGATAGGGTTCAGAGCGTGTTATGAGGATGTTGCTCCGGTGGAGATCGCCATGCGTAAATTTGATTTCACTATCATCAGGCAGGTCCTGACGGAACGGTTCGATTGGGACAATATATGGATCTGGCATTGGTCTTCGATGTAGGAAAGTAAACCAGTCATGGAATTCCTGGACGGTATTGAACGGCCCTGCTTCGGGCGACTCGACTTCGAATACTCTGTCATATAGATGACCTTGTGCAATATCACCTAAACGTGGAGAAAGAGTTATGGATACAGTTCAGAAAATATAGAGGCCGTTAAGAGCATCGTACCTACGAATGACTCTCCTGGCTTCTGTTGAAGGCGGCGAATGTGGTTGACGATTGTCCGGAGCTCATAACAGATCGAAACGCGGTTATCAGGTTCCAGCTTATCCCACACTTGCTCCAGAGTCTGCCCCTGCAAATACTCCATATAAAGGAAAGTTTCACCGCCATCCTCCCGCCACCCGTATATCTCCGGAATCGGGACATCGTCTTTAAGGAGCTGACCGAGAGCATAGAGGCACTGACCCTCGGAAATTCTCACAATGCCTCCCCATTTGACAAACAACCCCAGATCCTCGAATATCACAGGTGGTGTTCGGTAATTAAGGCTAGTCATCGAGAAGGTTTTTCTATTATCTGGACAGACTCCTGCGAGATGTTGGGCTTTGGCCTGCGAGCGAACTTCTTCCGGTGAGGGTAACTTGGTGAATTTTCTGAAGAATTGGGAATCTTTGGCGTCAAATTTGGGACATTTTGGTATCATCGAAGGCGTCAATTGTACGCGTTCGAGTACCCCACATTCCGAATCGTCTGGTAGCATATTGTTAGGTCGATAGCTAAGGAAGGTTGAACCAGCTGGTGCCTTGGTGTTTGAAGTCACCGAGCATATGCATGGAGGGGTCATTAGTTCTGGTTTGCATTGTTTACATTAATGCCATCTAGAAGTGGAGGGCTGCACGTGATAGGACTAGCAATGCAGCTTACCCCTAGGCTAGTTTACTACCAGTGAGCACGTATTCGAATAAGCACTTGTCCGGATCTACAATCAGGATTGCCTCTTTGGAGTTGGAAACAATGTCATATCATGTGAATTTTGAATTGGGCTTCATGCTAACTTGCTGGTGTCAACACGAGATTACCCCGGACTAAGAACAACTTGACAAATATAGCCAGCTGATAAAACATGTCAGAATTAGGCGTTGTCCAGCTCAGGGCTCATCCATGCCTAATTCGGATGCGACAATTTCTACTTGTCCGCGTTATCGTCCAGAAATACGTGTCAATCCTTACTCTTCGAATCCTAGTGCTTATGTGCTTATATCGGCCTAACTAATCTCCCGAGAACCTATATGTCGGTTTCTTATTTTCTGTGTCTCTAAGGATTTATTTTCCACTCAAAGCGAGAAACAATGTCAAATTTTACAGACAGGACGGACAATTACCCGAACCTGAGTCGTCCGTTCAGATCAATGAGGCCGGAATATGATGTCGTGGTAATAGGATCTGGCTATGGTGCTGGAGTAGCGGCAAGTCGAATGGCCCGAGCAGGGAAGAGCGTCGCAGTGCTAGAGCTTGGCTGGGAAAGAAGATGTACGGATCGAGAGCGTCAAGCAGATACCATCGCTAACATTCCCATAAGCCGGTTCATTTCCACAAACGTTCTCTCAATGTCTGAAGAACACGAGCATCTCGGGGAGTTCTGTAAAGGGCTCCTTCATTTCAAAGTGGCTGTCGCCTGGAGACCCCACGCGGCTTTTTCAAGTATTCTTAGGCGATGGACAGCATTCGTTTGCTGCTCATGGTACGTGATACTCAACATCTCCCTAGAATTGATGAATAGGAAAACCTAACAGCCTTTTTCTATATTTCATAGGACTTGGAGGATCTTCATTGATCAATGCCGGGGTTTTCCTGAAAGCGGATAAAAGAACATTGCAGATGAGTCCATGGCCGTCAGAGATCAGGGACCAGCCATCTGCGCTCGACGAATGTGAGTTTTATATGCATGGTGGAGGACATTTCATAATAACCAATGCAGACTACGCACGCGCCGAAACCATGCTACAACCTTCCACATATCCGGATGATTCAAGCCCAAACAAACTCAAGCATCTCCAAGAAGAGTCGAGATGGCTAGGAAAGAGGAATAATTTCTATCGAGTACCGTTGACTATATTTTTCCACAATGGCTGCAACAATGCAGGTGTCCCTATGCAGGCAAATAGACAATCAGGCCATGAGTGCACTGGTCTCAACGATGGATCAAAGAACTCGGTGGCGACAACGTATCTTGCAGATGCCTGGAATTGGGGAGCTGAGATATTCTGCGGATGCGAAGTTCGATTTGTAGAAAATATGGACGGAGGAGGCTACACTATACGCTTTGCCTGGCATGGAAGTGGGAGGTCGGTGTTTGCGGATCATTTCAAGGAACAACTCTTTTGGGTCAAAGCAGTAAGTATCGAATTCACTTCGGAAGTGGACATATCAACTCACTCTTTCTACTTCAATCACAGAAGGAGTTCTGTTTTCTTGGGGCTGGCGCTCTAGGAACTACTGAAGTCTTGCTTCGGTCAAAGCAGCACGGCCTCCATATGTCACCGCTTGTTGGAAGTAATCTCTCTGGAAATGGGGACTTTTTGATATTTGGTACGTACTTCCCCAGAATATCAGTCCGAGCACATTTGATTTACAGATTCAAGGTTACAACGGATATGCTAATATCAACGGGATCGCCGGTGAATCCTCGCGTGCTCCCCCTGGAACAACAGTCACTGCTGTTATTGATAACCGAGTCGTTGATCCTCTGGACAATCCTCTTTCTGGATATGTTATCCAAGATGGTTGCATTCCTGCGATGTTCAACCCGGTAATCCAAATCATGCTCACCCTGCAAACTATGAAGAGCCAGGCGCTGTGTTGTCTTTGGAACCCTCGCCAAGAAGCTAAGAAGACCCTTGCCTCTCTCAAGTCTCTGCTATTCGGCCCGTATGCATACAATGGAGCTCTTCAGCGGACTTCAACTTATCTGGTGATGTCTCATGACAGCAACGAGATAACTTTGACCTTGAAGGATGATAGATTGTGCCTCCGGGGACCGGCAGAAGGACGATCTGAGCATTTCAAATGGATAAAGAACATTTTCAATGAGACTTTTGCTCGCACAGGCTCAAGGATGGGGTTTTCCTATTTTTACGGTAAGAATCGATGAAAGCCATAACAAAGCTACGCTAAACATAGCCAAAGGTCGTCACCAGGAGGAAACCACAGTCCATCTCCTTGGAGGAGCCAACATGAGCAACGATGGAACAGGGCACGGGGGTGTGACAAATCATCTAGGAGAGGTTTTCAGTGGCTCTAATGGTGAAGTATACAAAGGCCTCGTGTGCTGTGATGCATCTATCATCCCGACAGCCCTGGGTATGTTGCAAGTAAAAATTTATGGCTTACTATGTGCTGATTCTGATAGGTGTGAACCCACTCGCCACAATATCAGCCCTCTCCGAGCGATCCGTCAGCTTGATTACCGAGAGATCTGAATTATCAATTGATCTCGAGACTGAAAATCAGACTTTAAACGCCTACTGCAAGCCTAGTGTATCATGCGATTCCCAAGACTGTCAAGACACCAAGAAAGCATCGCAGTCGATAGGATGGCAGTTCACAGAGACTATGCATGGGCACATTAGCATGCGGTCGGATATCGGAAGTTTTGCGCTTTCTGAGAGGGTAGGAAAAGGCTCATCTTGCGCGATGCGGATGTTTCTTACGATCGAAATCTGCCGAGGTAAGAAATCGAGAGAGCCATCTAGCAGTAGAATGCTCACATGTACAGATCTACAATACCAAGGAATATGCACTGGGACGATTTCTTGTTACGCATTATCTAGAGCCACGCTCAAGATTGTCGAAGGAACGGTAGACTTTTTCACGCCAATAGAAGAGAATGCCGAATCATCAGCCATTTCATATCACCTGAAGCTGCTGTCGGTAGAGGGCATAGAGTACCGCCTGAAAGGTCACAAGCTGATCAACTCGAACATGGCATTTTCCGCCAGAAAGACCTGGGAAGCGACAACTACGGTGAACGTCAATATCACTCGACTGGACGGGACAAATATTGGAGCAGGGGCCCTTCATATCTCATTGCTAGACTTCCAAAAACAGATGAGGACATTTCGGACGACAAAAGACTTCCAGATCAGTCTTGTCTTGGCCTTGGTGTGGTTTTTAGTTTCTTTTATTTACCACATCAGTTTGTTCTTCTTTCGCCCTTTCGTCCGCATGCGCTTCCCTCAGATCTCAACCAAGGGCACTGATGTAAAACAACTAGCTTCTACCTCGTGCAGTGTCACCGCAAGCGATGGCGTACAGATATATCTTGATATATATGACCCACTCCCTGCACAAAAGATAGGCGAGCCAAGACCTAACTGCAACCTTGCACCAGTCCTACTTTTACCCGGAGTCACTGGGATCGGCGCGATGCACAATTTGTATTCACTGCCATTTTTGCGCTGCAACATGGTTGAGTATCTCACGCAGCGTGGACACCGATGCTACGCACTCACCCCTCGCTGGGGCTGTGATCCCGCAGTTGCGCAGAAAAGCACAGTCTTCGACTGCCGTCTTGACGTTGCAGCTGCAATAGCATATATTCGCGACAAAGAGCGACAGAAGCCCTATGTGGTAGCCCATTGCCAAGGCTCGGTAGCTCTCTGCATGGGCCTACTGGATGGAACCATCCAAAGTAGCCAACTTCTCGGCATTACTGCCAACTCAGTCTTCATGAACCAGGTCTTCGGGTACTGGAACTCCCTCAAGGGGAGAACGACTCTGCTGATCCAGTTCTACGAATTACTGGCTGGGAATTACTTCCCGATTGTCAGCAGTGCTAAGAGTGTTCTTTTCCAACGATTACTCGATACGCTCCTTCGTCTCTATCCTGTTGGACACACGCGGGACATCTGCACGTCTACAGCGTGTCACCGGACATCTTTCGCTTTTGGCTTACTATGGAATCACGAGAACCTTGATATGAGTCTGCATGACAATGTTCACCTTTTTTTCGCGGGGACACATACGAAGCTTATGAAGCACGTGGTTCGCATGGGAACTCGGGGGATCTGCATGGATACTGATTCATGTCCTCTTCTGACAGATGAGAATTTGCAGCGACTGCAAGGGTTGCCGATTCTCTTTGTCTCGGGTACGGAGAACCAAGTTTTCAGTCCCGAGTCTACGCTCAAGGACTATGAGCTGCTGCGACGTCGATTCGGCGAGAGACTTTATCGCAGGTTTCTAGTCGAGGGGTACGGGCATCTTGATCCTATTGTAGGAAAGGATGCGGCCGAGGATGTATATTGGAGGATCTTTGCGCATTTGAGATGGTGCACCAAAGAGGCGGAAAGTACGAATTTGAGAGCCAAGTAACGAGATATGAGAGACAACACATCGCAAAGAGCCCATATTGTGCCGGTGTTGTTTATAATATTCTCTGCGAACGCGCTCGGGGCGGGCCCATACCCGCTGGGAGTTGCGAGAGAGGGGCTTGCATGCCTTGAAGTAAATTGTAGTATAAGGCAGGGAGTGCGATCAATGGCATATAGCTTAGAACTCCCAGAACATTGGACGAAGTACGGGTGTTCGCAAGCACCATATTCGAGACTCCTCTTTTAGAGCTTCATCCAGCTACGTAGACTATTTATTGGCATTTCCCTCTTTCCCTCTTTCCCTCTTTCCCTCTTCCTCTCTTCTCTTCCTCTCACACACACCATCACAATGGAATAATCATCGCTTTACACACATTGAACATATCGTCAAAGCAAGCGGCTTTATTACCATGTCGAACGAAGTGGCAGTGTGTGCAACAGGCCAACACAACCAACATCAAAGGACGGAGCTTTACCATTCATCCAAGCTAGCTTGAACCCTTCCTTCAACGCTTCCTGAAGAAAAGAGAAGAAAAAAAAGTAAAATCTTTGTGGTGCCCATGGGATAGAGGTCGGAGGCTCTGTCCTGCATATGAAAGACCTCCGCCATGTACTACGACCAATGTCCTCCACCACCATCTTCAGTACGTCATGCTACTCCGGTGGCTGGCTCGTCCACCCAGATATCAACCAACAGCAGCTGAACACCACAACGGGCGCATACAATGAATCATCATCGTGGGCCGATGTTGACGATGGACAACGGATGAATTAGCCCGTTGAACATATCACAAATCTTTTTCTTTCTCTTGATCATGGCCATCCCTGATGGCCTAAGCCTCTTTTCCATTGTTTTTGGTACCGTTATCAGCTTCCTTTCTGCGTTAGATATGGGGTGGCGGGGATGGAAGTGGTCGAGGGGGGAGGAGGGAGAGGAGGGAGAGGGCGGAGGTGGTGGTGCAGGATGGGGGGGCAGTTGGACATGTCTATCCTTACCTTATCCTTAGTATATAGTTAGATAGCACTGACGACGAGCTCACCCTTCTCCGCAGGGTCAGTGACTAGTCATTATCAGGTGAAGCTAAGATGAGCTCAAATGTATACTACATACCTATCTTTCTAGATTATACAGCTACTATCTTTTAAACTTAGTTATAAGGGTGTCGATGTCAAGGTGGTGTTCAACACCTACCGAATCGTGGCTGTAGGTGCATTGAGATCTCACATACATGTACCTTCAACCTGTATCCTGTTTCAGTCTCAGATAGTAATTGTTGCCATACCGTACTTTCAATCTGCTGTGACATTTGATAAGGCCTTTACAGAGAAGCTAGATATATAACATGCTACTATCATCTACGTACTACCTCATCTAAAGTGGATCAATTAAGCTACTCCGCTAAAAATACAGATCAGCCAATAAAGTCAACAAATCTATGCCCGTGTGTGGGACCCCAATCACTCGTAGTCGCTTGGATAACCTCATTGCCCTTACATCCGGGAGGCGAATCAAACGACCCACAGGCCAGGAACCAAAACCTGCGCAATAATGGACGCGCAAAAGAATTTGCCGTCGAAACCGACGTGAAACAACCCCCCAAAACAGACCTAGACATTCCCCCAAAGTACCCAACCCAACCATGTCTCAAGTCGTATATATCACCACGGAACCCTCGGACCGGATTCATGTAACAGGAATCACCCAGACGCAGCCCGATTGGATCCACCCGCAGCTAATCGAAAGCACCGACGCGATCAAAGGCCGCCAATTCCGCGTCTCCGGTCCCGTACCCAAAGGCGCCTGTCTCCTCGTCGATTCCCCCTACGCAGTCATCCCGGTCGTCGACGAACCCGCCACCAACGACAATCTCATCTGCAGCAATCCTGCATGTAATCGGCCGGCGCCTCGCCATGCCCGGAGTCCATGTCCAAATGCCTGTATCCCGGATGTGATGTGGTGCGGTAGCACATGTCGTGACGCCGATAGTCTTCGACATGGATTTGAATGTGCTTGGCTCAAACGGTATGCGGGCACTATCCGGTCAAAAAGGAGTGAATATGATTTTGGCATGCTGTGGGTGATTCTTCGGCTACTTGCTGCGCGACATTGTCAATTGCACGGATCGACAGCGCTTGGTGTTGTCGAGTCGACGGGGCATTGGAAGCATGGATGGAGTGGTATTGAATCGCTCTGTGGTTCTGAGGATACTTGGCCTCATGACGAGGTCCGGTCTTGGTCTGCTCTTGTGAAGAAGTATCTCCGGAGTAGTCCCGCTCTTCCCCATGAGATGAGTGCAGATCGTGTTCTTCACCTCATTTGTCAGGAAGAGGCAAACTCATTTGGTCTTTACCCACGCGAAACAGGCCATTTCCCCCTGCCAAATCCTCCGGTCGACAGAGGGGAGCAATATGCTGCTGCTGTTTACCCCACCGCGGCTATAGCTAATCATTCATGTCTGCCAAATGTAGGTGGAATTCTTTCCCGAGGCGTAAATGTGTGAGAGTAATGCTAAGTCACCACTAGATCATCCATAAAGCCGACGATAAGGGTCGCATGGTCTTCACCGCCTCCCGCGATATTTTTCCGGGCGAGGAATGTTGCATCTCGTACTTCGACCTGACACAATATACGGATATTACTTCGCGTCGCGAGCATCTTCGAAAATCGTTCCGTTTTGTGTGCCAATGTGAACGGTGTGTTTCTGAAGAGTCCGACGAATCAACAGAATGGACTGCAATGCCGATGGATATATGAGAGTCGCCGACTATAAAATGACTAGATCTATAGAACTTTACTAGATAGCACTATACCAAAATACAACTTTTGATTTATGTATAGATTAAAACACCGGTGGTCCTTTAAACATACAAGATGAGGTTAAAGGTCACTGTTTCATTTCTATCTACTCGTCTCAAAGCGCAAATGGCACTTGTCCGTCCCAAAGCCCAGCTATCATAGCCATATCACCCCAATCTCAGTCCCGATCTGCCATCTAGATCCAAATCCAAATCCATATCACCTAAACAAATAGACCCCAATCACAAATCTGCAATCTCCCAGTCAAAGCCCCAATAGTCTCCTCAGCAAGAACCTCTTCAACAGACAACCCATTAGGATCCCCAGTCTTATCAAACTCTTCATGAGGCACATTAAAGAAGACCAACAAATCCGTCTCCTGCGGCTCAAGCCTAACAATCAGGAAATGGCACGTCAACCTCGAAACCTGCGGCAATCCATTAGAAACCTCATTCACCTGCGCGCCCAACATTCCGGCATCCGCAACACCAGCAGCAGACCCCTCAGCCGACGCAGGGACGCGTCCACCGCCGCCGCGCACCGGCGTCGTGAAGGACACAATGCCGCGATACGCCCGGACACCGGAAGGGGTAGGCGAGGAAGAAGCAAGCTGGACGTCGACGCGCGTGGGCGACTTGATCACCTGCATGGTGTCGCCTTCGTCGCAGAGATCGTGCAGGTGGTGCAGGGCGGCGGCTTGGTCGACGGTTTCTGTCGTTGCGGGTGCGGCGCTACCACTGCCTGGGGCGGCGGTGAGTTGCTGGTTGAGCGTGGCGAAGGTGCTGAGAGCTTCGTCTTGTGGGACGCGCTGGTTGATTTCGATGATTAGGTTGGAGAGAGTGGTTGGTGAGAGCCATAGCTCTTGGTGGTCGGGGACCTCGCGGAGGGTGCTGGATTGGGTGTTAGTTGGGGGTTCTTTTTTTGATTGGGATGTTCTGGGATGGTATTGGAATGGATTAAGGTGATAAAATGGGATCTTGATGCATTGGAGAGTTTTATACGAACCTCGAATCAATCCAGCCTTGTGGCACGACGCCTCGAATGGCTCCGCCGAAGAACTCTTGCTCTGTGAATTGAGACATGGTGGATTTGATATGTTTTGATTGTAAGACGGCCGATTTTGATCTTTTTTGATCTTTTTTCTTTTCTTTCTTTTTGCAAGGACGTTCTGCTGGTTGTGCAGGAGCAAATCCAAATTCTTCGAGATAAATTGCGGGTTTTTTGCTCTGTTCCTCTTTTGCCTGAAGTTCGACAATATAGAAGAAGACAAACAATACTGAAGAGTAGCACAGATTAACAGAGACTATATAGTTCCAGAATGGAGAGTCGTTTAGGTAGACGAGCGTGCATGAGGCAACAAGTGCGGGCGGGTGTTTTCCGCCCAATGACGTCTGGCGGTTTGGCGGGGAGTTGACTCAATCCGGAGTATACGACTATGAGCTACATTAAACGACTCGAGTCACAGATTCAAGGAATTTGAGTCATTACTAACAAAGGTGTCGTGATTGCATTTAAAATTGAAATAGCAAAGTAAATCTCCGTTTAACAACGGGGTCAGGCTTCGCCATTCACTCAAACAGTTCCTCCAGGTACCGGTCTAGCTCAACCAGCTTGAACTGGTCTCCCCACCGAATGCGGAAGTCTTTCTTCCGATACGCGTTGCTAGTGCCCTGGGAAAAGCTGACAAGCTCAACATTCCAGCCGCGCTGGAGCCCGCGCTCTACCATCTTCATGAAACCGCCGGAGAACTCGGCCACTGCCGCATCCCCCGTGGCCAAAACAATCGTAGCCGGGTGGACCGTATCTAAGATGCTCTCTAGGATCTTCAGGTGTAGAATTTCGTCCACACCCTGCTCAACCCATCGCTCTCCAGAGGTGGCGACCGTTTCAGGACCGCTAGATCCACCCTGGAAACTGGAGGCATACTTCCGCGATTTGATGGTGCGACGGGGTGTGATCGGTTTCACCTTGTGCACACGTTCGAGGATGCACGCTTCGTAGCCGAGTCTCTCAGCTTCATCGACGGAGGGAAGATGATCCGAGCCGACCAAGACCCTCTTGGCGGCCTGACGGCCGCGTTCCATGATCAATGCGAGGTTGGCGAAGGACATGTGGGCACGAGGAATTCGGGTCGAGGGAGGGATGTTCCGCGAGGCTTTCACTGAATCGTGAAATCCGACCATGATCTGAGGTGAGTTAGCTTG